TTTTTTTTTTTTTTTACGACCGCGACGAAGAACCAAGTAATCGATGACAACACGCGACACCTCTTTCAGTATTCTTTTCGAGGTAGGCCGGCCTCGTATCAGACAAGAGAAACTACTCTTCTTCTTTTTCTTTCTTCTTCCTCATCTTCTTTGCGCCTTCTTTACATTTTTATTTTGCGAGACCGATATGCGCGTCTATTTTTACCATTGTATTCGGTTGATCAGAAATAATCAATCGCATCCCTTTCAAAGAATATTTGTGTAAAAACAATTATTTGGAAAGATGGTACAGATGGCAGCGTGCAATTCGTCAAATTGTTATTTCAACTTTATAACTTTATTCCGATATTATAGGGATTTCATAATTTTTCGCAATATCGTTTCTCGCACTGATGCGTAAACAACTCCATCTAGTGGATTTTATTTCTACTATGTAAGCTACCGTTGTTGTAAAACATAGGATACGATTGCATCAGCGATTCGACCACGTGTTTTTCGATTCTTATTTTCCGTTACGTTCTCAATCTATACGATATCCAACGGTTAGGTATATATATATGTTGTAGTAATATCGCAAAGTACGTAATCGCGAGGGTATTATATCTTATTATAATTTCCGTGGCAGCGCGGCACTTGACGAAGGTACGCAAGGTGAGAGATAAGTAAGCCGAGTCCATTTACAGTGGCCAATGATTTATCGACCGTGGAACGTAAGATGTCGTTAATCGTTTCCCAGCCCATCCTCCACTAATCACTTATATGTATAAGTGCGCATTTATATGCATTCATTATGCGAATACGCGTTTGCGGGTGAGCGATACGCTCGAATCGCTCGATCGTTCGATTGATTTAAGACGGCAGTAATCGAGTGGCCGAAAACCGAGTCGCGTTCTCCCCGCGTATCGCCGATATTTTCATATTTATGTGGAAGCGCGACTGAACGTTAAACTCCTTCCCCCCTTTCGCCGCCTCTTACATATATTTTCAGACGGGGTTTACGCCGTTACTAGAAGATGCGGGAACACGAAAGGGGAGCCCACGCTCCTCCCTGCCAGAGGCTATTCGAGCCGACGTCCCTCTCGCTTGTATATCATATAGCCGCATTAACCACGTCGCTTCGGGTCGTGCTTCTCGACTACTCTAGTAGTCCGAAAACCAACCTTACGTTTACATACGCGTAATATCCTACTCCTACTATCTTCCCCTTTCTTTTCTTCTTCTTCTTCTTCTTTTTTTTTTCTTTTCTTTATAACCATCCTTTTCGTTTTCAGCAAAACAAGTATACGAATCGTATAAGCATTTCGAATCTTCGAAGAAAATGACGAAGAAATCTCAAGTCGTGTAATTAAACGTTCTACCGTATATTTTATTCGCGAAAATGGATGAGCAGCGTTCGCACAAATATGTGTCTTCGAGTCGTTTACCAAGATACGTGATGGAGCTCGGCACAGGAGTGTACACGCTCTAGATTCGCATTAGATCTCGACGTGTTCCGAGAATATATACCTTACTTCTTCCACGTTGTACGAGATGATCCTTGCGATCGTGTGCACAACGAGTCCTACTTTCGACGATCGAATCATTTTCGTATATCGAACGCTATTTATCGCACCCTGCTAATCTAAAAAATCCATCCATTTTCGCGTTCGTACGATTTTGTTTCGTTCGCCGAAACGCATCGCGCGAGTAAAATATTGGAGGAGGCCTCGGTTTTGCGTATAAATCACACATCCGCGTTTCTGCGAACGATCCTTTGCAAAACAGCAAACTCGCCAAGGTCGAACAACTTATCGCACGATCTTGGACGGCCACTTAATTCCTCGGATGTAAGCCGTGGAGGTAAAGAGGCACGAAAGTGGGTCTAAAGTGGTCGGTACTTATCTGTCTATACGGTTGGCGAGGAAAAGGGAATGGAATCGAAGGAGAAGATCGGAGGAGGGGGGGGGAGGGGAGGAGAGGGGCGATAGGGTTCGAGGTTACACCCGATATCGAGTCACGAATCGGGTTGCGAATTCGTCGCAGATTTTAGCGGTAATTTGCGGTAATATTATAATCAGCCCCTTGCTGAGCCCGAAGAGATGCCGACCCCTCTGCTCTCGGTTAAATTGATGATCCGTGGAATCGGCTTACGTATGCTCCGTCTTATTCGCCTTGCTCCTTCGCGCCATCTCTACTCGAGAAGAACCCTCGAAAATATCTTTCGCTGCTAACACCTTCGAGTTGTTACATTATCACCGGTTATTATATTAATCTTTCGAGATAAACGGTTCCTTTAAATTTAATACCGTCCCTTCGTTTGAATATCGCCATGCGTTAACGATGTGTTAACATTTTGCCTTTATTCTTTTCCTTTCCTTTCCTTTCCTTTTTTTTTTTTTTTTTTATGACACGGTACCGTTGAAAATGATGGAAAAATATGGAACGTCGTGACGCGATTTATCCCCCCCCCTCCCCCCTTTCCTTCAGTACTTTCGAACTGTTAATTATTTTAACTATTGATATTAATTTTTATACTTTATATCGCGCGTATATAAATTGAAGATTGGCTTTTCTCTCTTTTGTTTCAGATGACATTGTAGGAGTTCATTGCACTCACGGTGTAAATCGTTCCGGATACCTAATTTGTAGGTTAGTATGGTTCGCATATAGCGCGTAGAAGATATATCGTGTATATCGTGCGCGATACGAATAGAATGCGTGTTTAACGAAAACGCAATTTTGCGCAAAAATCGGATAAAAAAAAAAAATTTTCTCATCGACGAAATATGTAAATTGGTGTTATCTGGTGTTACAGGTATCTCGTACAGCAATTAGGTTGGGAATTGGAAAATTGTTTAAAAGGTAGGTGAACGATCGTTGATCGAAAAAGGTAAAGAAAAAGAAAAACGAGATAATAGAATAGGAAGTGGGGGGATGGAGATAAAAACGTCGCACACATTTGGTTAACACGTTTGGGATGGGGATTTCGATGCGAGACAAAATGTGTGTGTGTGTGTGTGTGTGTGTGTGTGTGTGAGAGAGAGAGAGAGAGAGAGCGAGTCTAATAAGCGAGTGGACGATGGGGAAGATTCGGCGTATATACTTGTGTTGATATTTGTTTCAGCGTTCGAAACGGCCCGTGGATATCCCATCGATCGTAAAATCTATATAAACGCGTTGCAGAAAGTACCACGCGAGAAAATCGACACGAGTAAAATCAGCGTGGACTCGACGAGGGGAACGTCAGCGGGATCGGAAGCGGGGAGCAGAAGAGTAATGCGCGTGTCGTTCAAGTATCCAGGGAGCAGCTCGTACACGATGAGGCCGCCAGGTTTCGGAGCGACGAGACGCGGTTTCGCGAAAGACGGCCCATTCTCACCGGCGCATTTCGGTTACGCCGGCCCTCCGCCAGGTTTCCGTCCTATGCCACCTCCGCCCGGCATGCCACCGGTACCACCGCCACCAGTTCCTCCACCTATGTACGGGCCGAGGCCGTTCAGGTACGGACCACCACCGCGACCAGCCATGCGTCCACCGCCACCTAGACCAGGATTCCCTATTCCAGGTTTTCCGCCACCACCACCACCACCACCACCACCACCACCGCCACCACCACCACCACCCTGCCCGTCCAGAACGCCCGCCGGTATCTTACCCGCTCGGCTACCACCGCCAAAAATGCCTCCACCTCCTCCCCCCCAATCCGCCCCGACAAGACCCATCCTTCTTAAACGATTGCAACCGCAAAAGAGAAAATCCCATCTTCGAAACGGCATTCTCACCTCGCAGGCTAGAAACCACCCTGTCGATTTAATGAGGCAGAACAGCCAAACGAGTAGGATATTGCCTAAATTGATCAAAGAGCAGGATTTCACGGTAGACACGTTCGAAGAGAATTTACTAGCCGTCTCGAGCCAATCGAACAGGCGGTCCGCCAAAGGGAGATACAATCAAACCAAGTGACGACGTGCCATTTAGGAAGCGTGATTATTTTACTTAAATGCGTGCGAACACAACACATCTCGCGTCCTTCTCTCGTCGATCTTTTATTCGCCGAGTTTTTATTCGCCGGTTACTTCGCCCCCCTCCCTCCTCTCGTTCTCGCGAGAACAAAACGAGAACAAAACGGGAACGGTTACCAATTCGATACGATGGACGACGATTTTTTTGATCGATATTGGGCAACCGGGGGAGAAACGTCGAAAAAAAGAAAAGAGGATAAAAGAAAAAAAAAAAGATATCACGACGGCGGCGGAGTTTCTGCGAAATGTGAAAAAAAAAAACAAAAAATGTGAATTTGTATAGTAACGATCGGTGCCCATCCCTCCCCCCTTTTCCCTCCTACGACACATGTTCCTTGACACAGAATATTTTGAAGATAACGTTCGTCATTAATGAAAAAAAAAAAAAATAAATGCACTTTGTCGATAATCTTATTACGATCCAATCCATTACCACCATTATTCTCCTTTTGTAATTATTATTTCACGTTCACAACGATTACGATTTACGTGTACTTAATTTCGACCACGAGAGATTTACCAAGTATATATATGTATACACAATTGTTAATCTTGGCTTCGAGAATTGTCTTGATTCGAACTCTGTTTCCTAGTTTTAGAATGAAAATAAACCGATCGGCCAGTTAGCCTTACACAGATATGTATACATATGTATGTATATTTACATATATATATATACACATATACAGATATATATATACGGTATTTGCAAGTGCTATTCGAATACGATGATGGTTCGTCGAGATATATATATATATTTTGTAAGTAAAATATAACGAATCTTTAATTATTGAATCCTTTTAATTTCTCTTAATCGATCGGCTGATAAAAACTCTCCGTTTTAACTAATAACGTTTACTTTTTTTGCTTGTCGATAATTACTACCGAACAGGTAAAAGATTATAATATATTCAGGTATAGTATATATTCAATTTGATATTTATTTTATCGATAGACAATGCGTTTATCTATGTATGTACAACTCTTATTTTTCGAGTATATTTACTTGAAAATTCTTTTCGTATATAGTTTTATTTATGTAAATACTATGCTGTAAACATTTATTTTCATTCTATATTTAACGTAGCAATTGTAATTTCTTCGCAAATCATTCCATGCGTTATTGCTATTTTTTCTTTGCTCTCTCTCTCTCTC